GCATTTTTAGCTCAGTACAGTGCCATGCAAAATTAGTTCCAGAAATGGGTCAAAAAGAAACCAAGTACATCTGCAAATATTTTACTTTTACCATTCCAGATACTGGAGCTTCTCATTTGAAACCCTGTTTTGTTAGGCAACAGATCTCTGGAATATTCTATGTAACCCTCTCCCTTTTACCCAATATTGGTTTTCAGCAATAAACTCATATTCCAAAATCACTTCTCTAACAGAAACAGATTTCATATATATGAATTATGACATAACTATTTTTAGATATCAAACCTAAGATGGAAGCAATCTCAGTTTATGTGAGCTTTTTCACTTTATTAGGAGAAGGTCACAATATCCATGTCAGCAGACATTTGGAGGTGCCTACCAAGTGCCCAGCACCATCAGGCACTAGGGCTGGTACTGCGCAGGCAGACCCAGTCCCTGCCTTCACAGAGCTTAGCAACAGTAACGAAAGTTTAAAGTCGTCAAAGCTCTTCCCCCTTCATGTTACACAATACCTCAAATTCAAATTTAAAATCTTTAGAAAGAAAGGAAATAAAATATATCCACCCATTTTGTAGATGGGACAGCTGAATTCAAGAATACAGTATTAAATGATTTTTCCTCAGCCACAGAAAGAGTGGCAGGTCAGAATCAAAGTCCAGACCCTCACACTTGAGCCACTTCATATTTCTGTGTCTTCTATATAGTCTCTATTTTCAGCTTTGTTCTAGTCTAGAAGAGTATTTCAACTTTACAGGTATTGACTTCATTCTATAACCTGGACTACTATTCCAATAGACCTAGAAGAGGTCTTACACTATTTTCTAAGACCCTGGCTCAAGTAAGAACTTTTGTGTCCAAGGAAACAAAAATACCTCTATAGGAAATAAATTTTCTCAGACAAAAGTACTGGTACTTCACTCATGTTAACTACGGCATTATTTGCAATAGCCAAAAGGCAGAAACCACCTAAGTGTCCACTGATGGATGAATGGGTAATTCATTTAGAAAATGTGATATATTTATACAATGCAATATTATTATTCAGTATTAAAAAGGAAGAGAATTCTGATACATGCTACAACATTGATAAATATTGAGGACATTATGCTAAATGAAATAGGCCGGCCACCAAAAGACAAATACTGTATGATTCTACTTATAATGAGGTAACTGTGGCAGTCAAATTCATAGAAACAGAAAGAAGAATGGTGGTTGCCAGGACTGAGGGTAGGGGGAAATGGACAGTTGTTTAGGGATATAAAGTTTCAGTTTTGTAAGATGAAAAAGTTTTGGAGATTGATTGCACAGCAATGTGAAAATACTTAACGCTACTGAATTGTAGACTTAAAAATGATTCAGATGATACGTTTTATGTTATATGTATTTTATCACAATTAAACAACCCCCTCCCCCCCCCAAAAATACTGGTACTTACCTCATTACGCTAAGGTTTAATTTTTTAAAAAATTTTCCTTATGTCTTCAGTGATTGATAGGAACAGGCTCTCCTGGCACTACTAAGGGAAAAATCAAAGAATTTTCTGTGATGCTTTTGTTAATCAGCAGGAAATTTTTTTTAAAAACCAGTGCTTTTAATGCCATTGTTTATAAGCTTCGAATTATTTTAAAAATTAAAATTTGCTATTCTGTATTCTAAAAATTAACTTAGAGGTAGATGATGGCTTTTCATGAGGTTGATGCTAACACTGCTATATTTTTGTTTTCGTCTTTCTCGAGGGTCCAGAAGCAGAATAAACTCACATCACCCCAACTATCTAATGTTTACACATGTGAAACCAGAGGATACAGGCCACGGAACAAAACCTTGAACATGTTAGCAATTTGCACTTGTATTCAATTTCTAGATTTATATTTATCAGTAGTCTTAGCCACCATTACAACTCATTTTTTCACCAACAGTTCCCAGGGCGTTCAATTTCAAGCACTGAAAAAACCACAGGGTCTAAAAGAGGGTTGCAGATAAATGCCAGGGTTGATTACTGAGAAATGACAGACGGCGTCTTTCCTATTGCTTGCTGATTACTGCCCAGAAGGAGCTAGAACCACGGCTGGAGATGAGCTTCTGCCCTTTAATTCTGTTTTCATTTTTCACAGTCCTCAATCACATGTCTGAGCAGCTGGGTTTTTATTTTCCCATAGAGTCTGCATAGCTAACCTAATGCAATTAACTGGTAGGAGATGATATAAACAAATATTTAAAAGTTCAGGGTAGAAAATTCATTTATTAGTTTAAAAATACTTATTACTACATATATTTTATAATCTTATAAACTCACCTAATCTTTTAATATATAAAGGAATTAAGAAATCTGATTGGAGACTTTCAAGATACTGCATTTCACTGGAGACTTGCAAGATACCAACCACGTGAATAGAGCCGAAGAATCATTTTTGGTTTTCCAAAGTCATGTTCTTCCATGATACAACTTATTGTAGGGGCAAAAGGAATGGCTTGGTATATACAGAAAGACTCACTGAGTAATAGATGTCCCTTCTCACTACTGCAAGGTTATTCCTTCTGTAAATCTTAAACATACACAGTTCTAAAGTACTGGATTGATTTCCCTGTCACAACCCCCTTCTCTTCATATCAGCTTCTCTCCGTAAAATTCCGCCAGGGAAAGAACTTTGATTTATCTGGCTTGTACTCCCAGTGTCCAGCACAAAGCCTGGCACACAGTAGACACTCATTAAATGACTACTCAGTGAACGAAAGAAGCAAACTTTCAAGTGGCAACATACATAGAGGTTAACATATAAGGGACAAACATTATTTCAAGATGACAAGTGAGGCACAGTCTAACATTTTGCACTCAGAACCTTTTCTGATTTAAATAATGTCCATCCACACTTTTATATTGTAAATAAAATGCCTTTAGCTTTGAATTTGGTCATTACAGTATGCAAGACTGAAAGATGTGAAGTAGCACTGCCACTTTTTGAAAGAAGATTCTCATGGGAATACTCATATACTATCTCACATCTTTGGGGGTGTGGAGTGGGGTAATTTGGGAGCCTCTGGAAACTGATGAAATTAAACTTCAGTTTCTCTAACGGATTTGAAAACTGTTTGAAAAGGGCTAATGTAGGTTTTTCATAAATCAGCTGAGCAATTTCTGATTTGTAGTAATACTGGATAAAATAGAAAATTTATTTTCAAAGGCACAATACAAAAATAAAGGTTCAAATTGCAACTGACCTTGTCAGTTAGGAGAATGCTGGAAATCAGTTGCTGAAATTTGATTACTTCTATATATTTCCTCCTACCCCAAGTTATATCATATTGAAATAAAGCAGTTTGGGAGAAAAACTCAATTTCCATGGAAATATTTATCTTTAAACTACCTAGTTTGCACCCAATTAATGTTTGTTTCCCCAGCAGGGCAGCAGAGTAAAATTCAAAGTCTATTGCCAACATAAACGCTTCATTTAAAAAAAGTAAATGCTACTAATTGAAAATATTTCTATGTTTAAATTAAAATAATAAAATATATGCTAAAAAGGCAAAGATAAAATAATCTTCCCAGGACTTAATTTCTGGAACCTACCTGTTTTTACACAGCAGGTTTTTATTAACATGAACGTTTTTTTTTAAATGGTAGAATAAGTACATATTTTCAAATATAAAACCACCGAATTACTACCCCATACACGCACGCAAAGTTCCAAGAACGAGAGCAAAACACGCTTATATCTTCACTACCAAAAAAATTTAACACTACAGCGAGCATTTTGTGTCTCCTTACCTTGAGTGCAGAAGATTGCAGTGGGGCTAGCCAATTTATTTGCTTGCAGCGTGGTTTTCATACAACGGAAGGGGCGTCTCGCTTGCTCATTTTTGTTTCTTCCTAAACCAAGCAGTCAGCATCTGCCTCTCCTCATTCGCTGGATCGACAACCTGGAAAAAGCGCCGCCCGCAAAGTGAGCGCCCGGAGCAGGGGACGGTCCCCGAGTGGCCGCCCCTCCCTTTCGGTGACGCTTCATTTCCTGTTAGACTAAAAGGCATTCCCAAGAAGCTCGGTTTTGTAGTTTCCAGCCCACCTCCTAAAGACAGTCCTTCTTTTCCCTATTTTTTCCACAGGGTAACAACTTTGAATCGTTCACGTGACGGACCACCTGACCTTCCCCCAAAAATTTCCCGGAAATGCGCCCCAAGCAGTGTTTCCAACAACCGCGCAGGCCCGGGAGAAGGCCAGCCGGCCTCGCCTCCCTCGGCTCCGCACGCCTTGAGTCCCGCCGCCGAGTCAGCTTCTGCCAGCACTTCCCCGAAGCTGGCAGTGAGGTTTCGACAAGAATTACAGTGGCAGCTGCTGCCCGGGGAGATGACCTGGAAGCGAAAGGGACGCGCACGAATTCTAGAGTTTGGAGGCTTCAGCGGATTGAGATTGTAGGGGAAGGAATGCATTAACCAAATCTCAATTCACACACGGTCTCATAGGACCTACTATTGAAGGGCTTCTTTCATATAACATCTTTAAGAGTTTCTTTCGGAAGGCATTGACGGATCGCCTCCTGCGGGGCAGTACAGGCTGGTGGGTGGGATGCAGTCCTAGGGTTTAGGTGCCCATCGAGTTCACCCAGCAAAAGCATCACTTGCGCTTCCTGCGGACTGGCGGCAAGAGAGCACGTGGCTGCCTGGAGTCTTACGCATTGCTACCTACCGCACCAGAATTTAATGCCAATCGGGAGGTGGGGGGGCGGAGGCGAAAGGGTAGGGACGGCACCAGTGCATCCGGGAACACCGGCGTGGGCGGGCTCTGAACCTCCTGCCTGCCCAGTCTGCTGGTCGCCACCTCAGGATTTTGTTCCTGAGTCCAGGTGACTGGACCCTACCCCAGGTTAGCCCCTTAGACCGCCCTCGTAGTTGCCACCTGCTTCCGCACCCTCTACAGACCCAAGACAGCTCCCATCCCTCCCCCGTAAGCCCCGCCCCCGCAGCGCAGGCCCCGCCTCCCTCCTTTCCCGTCCCAGGACCCGTTGCGCGGCCCGGGCCGGAAGTCAGCGAACTCCCGGGTGTGTGTGTGTGTGTGTGTGTGTATGTGTGTCTGACTGTATCTCTCAGCGGCGCGCGATCGCGGACGAGCACTGGGGATTCCCGTCTGAGGCGTCACTACTGTCATTGCCATCACCCTGACGGAGCCGCTTGTAGAGGGGAGTAGACCCGGCCCTTCGCCGGGCAGAGAAGATGTTGCCCCTGTCCATCAAGGACGATGAATACAAACCACCGAAGTTCAATCTGTTCGGCAAGATCTCGGGCTGGTTTAGGTGCGGGGTGCTCTTTGCTGGGAGGGGGTGGCTGGCAGAAGAGGAGAGGGCCCAGACCTCAGAATGTCCCGAGGTCCAGGGAGGGAGCGTCAGGTACTCCCCCTCAACTCTCCGCTGTCAGGAAAGGAGCGTGTGGATGGGAGGGTCTTGAAAGGGGGACCCAGCTTCGGGGTCCCGGCACCCCTTTGACTCTCCCTGCTCTTTCCCACTTGTATTATGACCAGGTCTATCCTGTCGGATAAGACGTCCCGGAACCTGTTTTTCTTCCTGTGCCTGAACCTCTCTTTCGCTTTTGTGGAACTACTCTATGGCATCTGGAGCAACTGGTAACCAAAGGGGAAAATGGTTGGGGCGGAAGCAGGGGGTTGGGGAGACGAAGCACTGTTTGCTTATGCCACGTAGCTCTTCACCAGGAGGTTCAGGTCTTACCTTTGCCACCACCTCTGCTGCTGAGTTGCTTTCTCATGGCCACAGCAATCTGGTAGGGCTACATTTCTTAACATCCGGGGCAGATCACGTGCAGCCCTCCTTGTCATCTCCCCCATCTACGTCAGGCAAGACTGACAAGCCCCCTCCCCATTTTGGCAAATGCAGAGTCTTTCGTCTCTAATTGTACTCCTTAGCTTTGCCCACTTTGTTGGAATTGGAAGAAACTTGATCTCTGCCTCTGTGTGGGGGAGTGGCATTTGGATTTCACCCTTAAGATTCTGGGAGGAAATATCTGAGATGTTCTACTTAATTTGTTATTGGTCTTGGAATGGGGAAGAGGTTTATAAAGGGATATCCAGGGAAATGTGTGTCATTCTCTTCTCCCTTTATTTTAATGCTGAAACTGTCTCATGGTTTTCCTCTGGTCTTGACTGCAGTGAAAAATCCCATATAGTTTTCTTAAAGCTTGAATCTCTTGAGTTGTTGGATTTTGGTGTTGAATTGGGTTTGTTTTGTTTCGAAATTGCTTTAGGAAGAGGAAAATACAGTGTAACTTGATGGAAATGCAGTTACTAGTATTCAGATATATGCTGTTGGATAACTTAAGGACATGTGGAGTTGTTCTGCTAAACAATAAGATGATCACACTTCTAGATGTACTAATTCTGTCTTTAGATTCCATACCCATTTAAGAATCGGATGAAAGCAAAGACTCAGAATTTTATATAAAGCTTCAGGGTGTTCTTGGGTTCCCTAAAATAGATCTTTGTTCCCAGATTAAGAACCTATGCATCTATGCTTTATTTTCTATCAATTAGATAAATGTAGTCTCTGTCCTTTAAGGTCTACTTTCAAAGAGAATTACTGTCCTTGATCTTTATCTCTGTTGAGGTCAACCAATGATTGTATCACCAGGTTTTGTGAAAGTATATTTTTATGTGAAAAAAATGGGCTTTTCAATTCAACTATCAATTCAATTATATCAAAAATACTCCATAGCCAGCAGATTATGAAGGTTATTGGTTTAGTCAACTTGAGTGTAAAAGGCATATTGACATAGTGAAATCTTAATATAAGTAATAACCATTTTGAATACTCTGGGAATCATATGTATCTGAAGGATATCCCATCATATATTATTTTTTTAATTTTATAATATTGACACCCTTTAATGTCTTACAGATGTTAAAAGCACTGTAGTCTTAACTTGTATTTGAATAATTATACTTTATCATAAACATATATTTTACATTTTTTATCTTCCTAGATTATGCCTACATTTTGGCATATGTACTGATTATATTAAGACTGTATCATAGCTTATATATGTATATTTGCTACAGTTACTTTATATGCCAATACATGGCCTTCCATTGCATAAATCACCCTGTGAAGTACCTTGTTGAAGGGATTCATATTTGAAGTGCCTAAACCACCTCTTTTATGGGAAGTTAGGTATATAGTAACTCTTGATCTATAGAGATCTATTGAGGAGGTTACTAAAACCATTGTTTTACAAGTCAATATATATCAGTGTGTAAGGAAAACATCAGTGTAGGTGACTTTCTTGTTCTTTTGCCTTTAGGGGATTTGTTCTTCTGCCCTTTAGGTGACTTTTTCTTCTATACCCTTCCAGTTTATTCTCTTTCATTGTGTATATCTTCCAGATTTGAATTCTAGCTCTAGTGACTGTCATACTTAGATCATTTAGCAGGTAGATATTCATCTTCTCATGCCTAAGTATGTTGGGCATACTCCATTTCCAAAACCAATTGTTCCCCAATATTAATTTTTATTAGTGGTTATGAGGTATAAATCTCTTCCCATTGATATTTGGCCAGATTTAGAAATTACTGTGGCCTTTTTATAATCTGGCTTTCTATGTTTTATTTAGACACCAAAATTTTTAGTTCCTTTGGTTGACTAATCAATAATTTCTTTATATGGCCAGATTATCTCTGTTCCTGTAGGTTCAATTAGTTAAGTTCCTTGATTAAATTTCCGACCAAAGGCCATTTTGTTTTTATGTTCAATTTCATTCTGTAAAAATGAGTTCTAAGTTGTTGAGAACATGAAATATCAAGAATTTTTTTCCCTGTAGGTCATTAAAATGTGGAGAAAACACTCTCTTCACAAATAAAGGTTCATAGAAACAATTGCTCTAGTAGCAACAAATGTTAAATTGTTCTGGTTTTTGTTCAGAGCCTTAATTTTAAAGGAAGAACTTAATTATAGTTAATTTATATTTTTGATGGTGAGAAGATGTCTTCAATGGAAGAATAGCTAAGTGCTTCGTGTATTTTTACCCCATTAAATATACACTACCTTTCACCTTTTCACTAGAATGTAAACTTTATTAAAGTAGGGATCTTTTCTGTCTGTTCAGGCACTTTAATACATGGTACATAGTGGATGCTAAATACATATTGGCTGAATGAAAAATGAGGGAATAATTACTGTATGAAATTACTTTACCTGCATTAAACATGCCAATTATCCCTGTTAGGAAAGAAAAAAAAAAACCAAAAAAATGTTGAACTCCTTTCTCTCATTCTTGGAAATTAGGAGGAAAATGGTAGTCATTTTTCTTTCCTTCTACGGTGCTTTCCTTCTAGCATTTTATTTTTCATTCACTTATTTATTGTTGAGTAGCTGATTGATTTCAAGGTAGCATGGTATAAGAGTGTCGTTTTTATAAGATCTAGGATTAAGTTTGTTTTCAAATTACAGAAAAACTTCAAAATAATGGTTACTTAAATAAGATAAAATATTATTTCCAAGATAAGAGCTAGGGTTCCAGCCATCCCTGGTGACATAATGTCTGGAATGCGGAGAAAAAGGCAAAAGTTGTACACATTGTCTTTTAAGTAGATTTATCTGGCTGCTAAAACAGTAATACTTTCGCTAAAACTTTATCACATAGTCATGCCTGGTTGCAAATGTGGTCTTTATTCCAGTCAACCATGTATTCTGCTGAAAGTCAAGGATTCTTTACAAATGAAGAAAGGGACTATGTGGATACTGTAGGTTCTAGAAGTGGGACTGGAGAGAGATAAATTAATCTAACATCTTCTAGAGGCAGAAAATTGAGACCCAAAGTTTTTTACTTCCCAAATCAGCAACAGAGCCTATAGCACTTGTCATCTAAGTGTTTTTTCCCACCACAGCATGATTTTTTTCTACTATTTCAATAGTTTGCTTTGTTTTTATACTCTTCTGTTTTATTTTTACTTCATTATTAAGAAATTTAATTTTAGTAGTATTTTTTTACCAAAGTCGTTGCAACCATTTTTCCCTAGACCGTAGAAGAAGCTCAGGTAACTCTAAAGGTAAATGTCTTTGTGTTAACAAAGTAAATATTTGTTCAAGAAATGTTTAAGGCAATGCTGGACATTTATTTGGTTTTACTTCTATATCATATGTCACAGCAGTTATTTGTAAAGTAATTCCTTGGTAAAGAAAAATGCTTTCATTAATTGCATATTTTTCTACTAAATTAAAATTTTTACGTATCTTAGTCTTTTAAAATCAACTTTTCCCTTTTTAAAAGGCAGCATTACTTATCAGCTTATGGCGATGTCTTTTGCTTTCCTATAGTTTTATTTTTTATCTTAAAAATTTAGATAAGTATTTCATTTTGCTCAGAAAATTTTTTAAAGTAAGGGATTATATAATGGAATCTAGTGGAGTTATGGGTTATTTCACTACAACTAACTAGTTTATTGACTTTACTAATGTCAGGATTCTAAGAATTTTCTAATTTCTTGATAATAAATTGATAATGTTTTTCCCCCTTGTTCTAAATTGTGGGAACCAGCTGGTAAGGGGTTTGTGAATTAGGATGATCCCATATCTTCAATTTTGAATTGATGTTTAACAAGCAATGTAAATATACTGTTGGGTTAGTTACCAATAAACCTTTATAAAAACTTTTTATCTTGGAAAATTTTAAACATACATAAAAGTGGAGAGTTTAATGGATCTTATGTACCCATTCACCCAATACATGGTCTATTTTATTCTCTTATCCTTGTCCCACCATTGGATTGTTGTAAAAAACACATGCATATGTAATTTCCTCCATAACTATATCAGTATGATTCTCTAAAAGATAAGAGTTCCCTTTTTTAACATAACCTAAAACCATTATCACCTATAAAAATTAATGTCTCGTTAATATCTAGTGAGTATTTAGTTATACCTCATTGTCTCATAAATTCTTTTTTATTTGATTTTGTAGATCAGAATACAAACAAGATCCACAGGTAGTATTTAGCTGATAGTTCTCTTAAGTCTCTCTTAATTTATAGATTTTCTTTCTCCCTTTCTTTGTTTTTGCTTTCAAAAGACGTTAAATAAAATCCTTTTCAAAAGTTTCTTTTACCCTATGCTCTGCTTACATTTATTCTATTTTGCTTTAGTGTTCGTCTTTCCCCTTTATACCCAAAGTTTTCCCTATTAAAATGTCTTTAGGCGGGGCGCGGTGGCTCATGCCTGTAATCCTAGCTCTCTGGGAGGCCAAGGCGGGCGGATTGTTTGAGCTCAGGAGTTCGAAACCAGCCTGAGCAAGAGCGAGACCCCGTCTCTACTAAAAATAGAAAGAAATTAATTGGACAACTAAAAATATATAGAAAAAATTAGCCGGGCATGGTGGCGCATGCCTGTAGTCCCAGCTACTCGGGAAGCTGGGTCAGTAGGATTGCTTGAGCCCGGGAGTCTGAGGTTGCTGTGAGCTAGGATGACGCCATGGCACTCTAGCCCAGGCAACACAGTGAGACTCTGTCTCAAAAAAAAAAAATGTCTTTAGAAAGTTGTCACTTAAAAAAGATAAAGAAGTATATGTTACAGAAATTAGCAGTGCTTAAAGAAGAGACTAAAACAAATATGTTGATTATAA